CCTTTGTTGTGGCTGCTCTTTCTGTGTGTGCACCGTGCTTCAGAAACACTGTTGGGAGCCTTAGTTTGATTTTAGCTCTGAACCTGCTGAGTTTTCCTGATTATTTTGTTTTAGCTTAGCTAAGGAAATGCTCCCAATTCCCCTTATTTATTAACTAGAAAGCAAGTCACAAATGGGACGCTCCACACCTTCTCTAAGCCCCTGTCTCTAACTTCTGAAGTCTTAAAGTCCAATCTTACCATTTTCCCAGATGTCCTGGCCCATGGGTCCTCAAACTAAGGTCCATGGGCCAGATTTGGACCGCCATGCCCTTTTAACCGGCCCACCCCCCAGGTTTTGCACTCGTTGGGCACATGGCTTGCTCATGAGGAGGTCATTTTGGAATCGCTCGGAGAAAACGATCCTCACGAGCAAGCTGGTGCCTTGCCCCATGCCCCCACGCCTTGCCTCGTGTGCACATGTGCGCCCACCCCCCCCACCAGCACCACCTTGGTGGCCCACAGCCACTTCTGGCACCTATCAACTGGCTCCCCGTTCAAAAAGTCTGAGGACCCCTGTCCTAGCCAGTACCATGGGACTTACTCCCAAGCCCAGGATCACAACCTCAGGTTGTTTTCAGATGTGGCCTCTTCACAGTAATATTTTTCTCACTGATTCAGCATGTTTCAGGTGATGATTCTGGTTCAGATAGGTTTTTAATCCAGTGAGTTCATGTTGTAATATTTGTGGGATTGGGGGGTGGGGGGGACACAGGAAGGATTTTGCAACCATTCGAGGAAAAAATACGATGCGAGGTATAGGCAAGAATTTTGTAACGCGTAACACTTACAGGTGCTTCACACACCAGATTCGGGTAACCCTTACATTGTGTCTGAATGGTGCATATAAAGGAAGTGTGTGTGCACACGTATGAGTGGACATGCACAGTGGAAGTCTGCGGAGGGAGGTACCTACTGTTGGCATGCCTTGACCAACATGCCTGTCCAGAGCCAATGCAGTCCTCAGCCCCCCAAAACATCCCCACTGCCGACTTACAAGTACTTTATAAGAAGTGCTTTGAGGGCATAAATAAAGTATGCAAGGAGCTTTGGACATTCATTCAGTGCTCCCAGTATTCACAACCATTGGTGGCTTGTTCCTGCTGGGATGGCTCATCACAGGCAAAGCTGGGAGGTCACCACAGTGGGGAAGGCTTGAATTTGTAGCAGGTGGCATCACGTACCACAGGAAAGGCCCCTGTGGCATGTTGTTTGCACATGCAGTATGCTGAGCCTGACCCCCAAGCCAAACAGGAGTACTTCTTTAGACCCATATTCTCCTATTCCAACAACCTCCCACATAGTCCCGAGATAGATTTTCATCCTACTGCAGCCAGCCAACTCTCTTGCACGCTAACTGTATCCCAGAATCCCAGGGACAGTTTACATGTGCCTTTTTAGGTGTGCATATAAAATTTAATGTGTATGAATGAGACAATTGTCTTTCAATTGGTACACTCTGCTTATCAAGAGTGGTTGGCTATACTTCCTTGTCAAATACATTCAAGTTTTCATCCAGGTTTGCTGGAAAATACACAGAAAGGTACTTGGTATGTCAACTGCTGGGACAATGACTGTTCATATGCTGTTACTAAATTCAGAGAGGAGTGGCACAGATCCAAAGAGAGGAGCAGAAACAGAACTTTTAAAGACGGTCAATCCATGTATTACATTCAGTGCATCTTTCCATTTAATGCACAGGTTTTTAAAAATGCAGAGTATCTCCTGGGAATAAGAGGGGCGGTTGTTCTTGGTACACACTCCCAGGTCTTGGCAACCTGTACTCAGTGGAAGAGGGGGAGGAGGAGGAGGAGTTGTTGTTGAAAGGGCCAGGAAATTTGGGGCTTCAAACTTTGAGCAGGGAGAAGCAGAGCAGCTTCTCTCAAGGCCATTCTCTCCAGGTGCTGAGGCAAACTCTGCGATTAACCAAGATGTCCCACTGTCGGGAGGGAGCATGCAAGAGGGGTTCTCAGAGTGAGACAAAGTTGGTATGACTCTTGACTCCATGAAGTGGCATCAGGAGAGCAGGGCTAGCAGCCATCAGATCGCGTACAGAGAAAAGGCGTGCTCACTTCCAGAGGGACCCTCCCAATAGGAATGGGGCCCAGACATACTCAAGATGGGGGTTTCTGAAAGTATTTGCTAGACTGGATTCTCAACAAACTGATCTGTGCATTCTGTGGTGATTGAGTTTATTGGATATACCTTGGGAAATGAACTATTGCAAAGGAATGGTCTGTTCCCTTGAATGTGCAAAGGGAGAAAAATGACAGCATCAATGGGGTACTCTTATATTTACTGGGATCACAGCAGGTAAGGAAGGGAGATTTAAAACTTTCTTCTGCTGCTACAGTCTTAAGGAAAATCCATCCTGTAAGACTTTTATTTGCATTAAGGAAAAATCCCCCAATGGCACCTAGAGAGGAGGGATTTTCTCAAGACTGCAGCAGTAGAGGAAAATGTTAAATTTCCCCTCCATGCTGTTATAATTTCTGTAATAACAAGCTATCCAGCTGTTTGCATTCTTTAAAAAACTTCAGTATAAGCATTCTATCTAGTTTGAAGGAAAGTGGGATCATAGTGGTCAAGAGAGAGTTATATTGATGTAAAGAGAAGCTTGCCATCGATGACAAGAGGAAAACTGGCTAATAGAAGTAGGAGGTGTAAATCTGGAGTGAGGAAAAAGTGGGAGGTAGATGAGAAGAGTGTGCAGAGAGGGTGGAACCACAGAAATGGAGGGAGAAAAATGCAATACAAGCCATGATGGTACAAACGAACACTGTAAAGTGGAGAGAGAAAAAGGGGAGACTTATCAGGCGGGACAATGTTAACAGAAAGTGTACTAAAAGGAAAACACCAATTAAAAACATGAGAAAAGTGCAATTCCAGTAGTAATATAGCAGCAGGGTCCCTTTGCACTAATAAGCATGTAAAAACACCCTCTCAGAGTGATTTGCTCATCAGTGTTTTAAGTATTAATGAGAGCCACACTTCAGTAGCCCTTCAAGTTGATTTCAAGCCCGTTATCAATACACTTTGCCCAAACCTCTCTTCCTTCTCTCTACTCTGTCCTATGCAGTACTGCGGCCTTCATAAGCTGTGCACCCTCTGTTCTAACAGATGATTATGCTCCACACAAGAACTCAAGATGGTTATATTTTCAGTGGCAGCTTGTGTTGTTTTGGATAGATTTCACAGTCTTACCCAGAGGTGCTTTCTTGTCTAGTTTAATTATAAAACTCATAATTTTAAGAGTTTCTAGGTGCCTGAAATTATAAGAAATCTGCTAAGATGGTGAGGAGTTTGGCTTTCCTTTACTTAAAACTGTGTGATACACTGGGAGGAATGGTGCATGAACCAAATACTAAAGGTTTATAAGCAAAAATGCAAACACAAAACGCTCCTTTAAAAAAATAACACCCCAAATTTTAATGCAAACTTGTGATTTTTAAATATTGGGTTGTCCTTTTAGAAATCTAGGAATTGTACTTATTGGCTTTTGTTTCTCTCCATTCCATTCACCTTTGCTACAGCTATTGTTTTGGAACTTACTGTTATGGATAATACTGGAGCAGGTCCAGTTGAGTCTGAATAAATTATATTTCCACTGATTCTGACTTTAATTTAATTTCTTTATCAGCCAATCAGCTGGCACTTCACAGCAATTTATATTAATAACTGAATGCTACATGAAGACATCCCTGTCTTCCATACCTTTGTTCTTCAACTGCATTATAAAAATAATAAATCTAACCTGCAATCTTACACATATTTGGACAGAAAAAAAAAGTCCAGAACTGTCAGCACCCTCCAACCCACACAGTACTGCCATGACCCAAAATCCTAGATCCACGGGGGGCTATTTCACTATTTTTAAATGCAGACTTCCAAAAACACAGTTCAAACACAGCTCACAACCTTCTCCAGCTACATTGCAAAATTTATGAATCCAGCACATTTAGAAGCCATAAAAGCACCCCCTTGAAATAAAATAAAACAATGCTTTTGAGGTGTACATTCTTGTGCCTTTATAGCCTTTAAAATATTTGCATCTTCCCTGCCTGACAGCAGTACTTTAAAAAATCCTAGATTCGGTGTCTCATGGTGCAAAACTCCACAGAGCATGATTGAACACAGACCCCATCCACTCAAATGCACCTCCTGAACACAAATCTCCATTATTGCCCTTCTTCAATATAGTCTCTTCCTGCAGTCTCTGCAAACAAAACTGGTGGTTATATTCACACACACCCTCATGATCAGGACCCAATGATTTGTGGGTCTGTGCGTCAGTGCATTTCCAATTACACTCCACATCTGAAAGTACCTTTAGGATTTAATCCTATGCATGTTTCCACTGGAAAAAAAAAGTCCTACACCTCCTAGCATGCCCCAGCCAGCATGGGCACGAATAGGCCTTTTTTCTGTCTGAACCTGCGTAAGTCACAGGCACTATGGCATAGAGAAGAGATAAAATATGCAGCCGAGGCATCCCGCATTTTGAGAGGAGAGTCCAACAGCCATAATTCGGTAGCGTGTTATCACTAATTAATTGTAAGAGAAATCTGGTTAAATGTTAAAAGCTTCCTAGTTTTTAGAAACGATGAGCAGGGATGCACGAATAACTGCAGAAAGAGTCGCCAGGTGGCATACTAATAAGCACGACCATGATGGTAAGATGTGCCCCCGCCCCCCGGGTGCATTTGTAGTGAATTCAGCTCATTCAGGGGCAGCAGGATCGAATGCATAGATAAGACGATCCAGTCGGTTGATCCACTCGCTGGACTCCGCTGCTCCTGCCCGGCCAGAAACCCGGAACGAGAAGCCGCGCCTCGAGCCACGCTTCTTCCAGCGCCGAGGGGTTTGCCCCTTTCCAAGATGGCGGCTGGTGCGCGTAGGCGGCTGGGGCGGGGCGGAGAGGGCGGTGAAGGGTCGGAGTACCCCTGACAAAGATGGCCGCGGCGGCGGCGGCGGCTGGAGTCGCGCGCCTCTGCCAGCCCGGAGGGTGTGTACGTGAGAGTCGCGCGCCCGAGCAGGAGGAACCCGGCGCGCGCGAGCCCAGCCGCGGGAAACGTTGACGAAGAACATGTCCGAGAAGCAGCCGGAGTCGATGAGCGTCGCTCAGCAAGTGAGAGGAGTGGCGCGGCGCAGGGCGTGCTGTGGCCAGAGCAAGCAGGAGGCGGCTGGGGCCAAGGACCGGGGAGGGGGCCCCGGACGGAGGGAGCGGGAGTGAGCGCCGGTGGGGTGTGGCTGCGGGAGCGGGGAGCCCGTCCACGGTGGGGGAATAGTGCAAAGGAGCGGGCGAGGGAGCCGTGCAAGGTAACTGCGAAGTAACTGTGGCTAGCCCTCGAGTCTCTTCGTGGTTTTGGATCCCGCCGGCCCTAGCCAGCATGGCCCGTGGGGAGAGTGGATTGGGGTTGCAGCCCAACAACATGCGAAGGGCCAAAACTGTCCTGACACACTGGCGAGGAGATACACGCCATGAAAGTGAGGCCCAAGGACGAATCTCTGCGCACCCATAAACTTGTCAAGACTCCCCTGCAGCTTCCCCGACCCCATTTTTCACAGTAGTCTTGCTGTGGTGTATTACAGGGGGCCAGATTCAGCAATGTGTGATTCCGCAGAAGACCATATCTCTTCTGTCCCACCACTTTTCTCCCATTGAACACAGTTTACCTTGACCCAGAAGGTTGGATTGTCTTTCCTAAAATTAAAACAGGATGGTATTTTTGGCCCCACTATTGCCTATATCACACCCACTATTTTGGCACCACAGACCACTGGAATGCAGCCCCTAAAACCTTTGAAATTGAATTTGGCCTTCGACCAAAAGAGGTTCTTCACCTCTGGTGTAGTAACTGGGCAATATCATTTAAACAAAGACTGTTTCTCATGGATCCTCAAACTACAGCCTGTGGACCAGATCCGGCCCGCCTCAGAGGTTTTGGACTTGCCGCAGGCGCGTGGCAAGGCAGCGGCTTGCTAGTAAGGAGATCGTTTTGGACTCGGTCAGAGAAAACTATCTCCGTGTGAGGAAGCCCCCGCCTCTGCCCCCTCACTGGCCCATGCCCACTGCTGGCAACCGGCTCTCTGTTGAAAAGGTTTGGGGAGCCCTGCTGTTTCTGGACAGGTGGCTCTTAATGCTGCCAGTCAAAGACATTGTCCCGCTATTCTATCTTTTTCTCAACTGTTTTTTTTTTGGGGGGGGGAGAAGTGGGGAAACACAGGACAATTGCAAGTTGAAGGTGACATAGGCTGCAGCTTCTGCACAATTCTGTGAATGATGCAGAGCAGTTACAAGCGCATTAGCATTGGAAAACCAAGGTCAAACTGCCCCTCAGCAATGATATTCACTGGATGATCTTGGGTCAATCAGTCTTTTTCAACCTAACCTACCTTAGCTGGTTACTGTGAGAATAAGATGGGTGAGGTGGAAGGAAGGATGGAGGGGCTGCCATGAGAAGTAGTGGCCAGGGAACCCCAACTCTGCCAGCCCAGATGCATGATCTAAACTCTGGATCTGCAACCAATATGTATGAGATGCTTCTATTCAAAATTAGAGGATTAAAAGAAGTATATAAAGGTAGATTGTGAACCATGGGCAGAGCTGTCTTGAGGATTTATGGGGTGTGGAGCAGGTTTGCTATAGAAACTCCTGTCACTGTCTTCTACCAGGACCTATTTGGCAGGGGCTGAAACTTTGTACCAGTTGTTCTGCATCTGGCAACTGGACCATAGGAAGAATTTATTCTCTCTTAAAAGGCTGTGAGTTTACTTCCTTGAGGAAGGGCTAGCTGAGCTCATTATATTGAACAGTATGTGCATCTTGCCACTGGTGCATAGGAAAGGATGAGTGCCTAGAACCTCTAGAGCAGCCTTTCCCAACCTGGTGCCCTCCAGCTGCTTTGGACTACAACTCCAAGCAAACTCTACCACCCAACACTTCTGGAGAGCACCAGCTTGGGAAAGGCTGCACTGAAAGGTAGCAGTGAGTGACCAAGCGTGCAAATAGCCCTTCCCATTATCAGTCACAGTCTCCCTCCCCCACTCCCTACAAACAGAAGCAATAGCAAAAGACCTTGTGCTCACACAGATCCTCCTGATGAGCGTATCGTAGGAAACAGATTAGATTTGTGTGTGTACATATATTCCAGTTGGATCCACATCTGAAAATATGTTCTGGGTGCAATCCTATGCATATTTAGGGAGAAACAACACCTGCAGATTTCCATCATGTCCAAGCCAGCATATGCACTGTAGACCCTTTTTCTGTTTAAACATGCGTAAGATTACAATCTAAATTAAATGCTTTATTATTGGGTTTTTATTGTGAGGTTCAAAATCAAAGTCAGTACCTAAAAAATAAACTTTTGCAGTTTTCTTATAGAAAAATTGAGTGAATCTGTTACAGTAAATCCATATTTACTACGTAGCCTCATAAGTTGTGTATATAGCAAAAAAATTGCTATTATTTGAGATAATTATGCCTAGACTTCAGCAAGGTAGTCCAGATAACCATATATTTATCCATTTGTAAATTACACCTAAAAGCCGTTCTTTAACGAATCAATTTTATGTGTATAAAATTGATTTTATGTGTATTATGTTTTATTTTATTTTATGTAAGCTGTCCCGAGGCTATGCGATGGGATGGCATACAAATACTCTAAATAAATAAATAAAAAGCTTCATCAAGTCCTCAGCTCATTGTGTTATTGCAGGTAGCCTTTTGCCTTTCTACTGTTACAATATTAGCCTTTTAACTGTCAAAAGGGAACAGAGAAGCATTTACATTGACCCTGTGAAAGGTTCCAAGAGATAGGTAGATAGTTAAGAAAGACATGTGTATCCATGAATATTAAAGAGCTTTTGATTGTAAAATTTATCCAAATTATTTACATTTCCCAAAAGGAAGGAGCCATTGGACATTGCCAAAACATAGAAGCAAGAGAAGCATTAGTTGTGTTATACCTCCAGTAATTGGCCTATTTACTCTAAATTAAATGTGTCTGGGATATAGTTGAGCAGAGGTAGTTTGCAGCATGAAGGGTAAAGCCATCTCCTAGGACCATCAGTGACATTTAGCAATGGCAGCATGGAAGTTCTTTTGGAAGGAATATCCACTTCCTTTACAAAATAGGCTCAGGGTGCTTTAAAATGATATCATAATCTTTTAAACGAGCAGAATAAAACGACAGCATAAAAACTGGGACGGAGAAATTGGGTTCTGTTTAGATACCTTGGTTCAGAGTAGTTAATGTCCTTATTTGGAGTGCAGGGCTTGTGTAGATCAGATGCTGTTTGACTCCTCTTCCCATCACCCTCAGCAAGCATGACCAATGCTCTCAGGGATGATAGAAGTTCAACACTGTGTGGAGCACCACATATTTCCCTCCCTCACCATAAATAAGTCATGAAGGACAGTTCTGGGACCTATCCTGAATCAGCCAGTAACAGCAGGATTACAAGAGTTATTTGGGCATCTGCCCTATTGAACTCCATGGGGCTTGCTTCTTAAACAGGATTGGGCCACAGAAATTACATCATCTCCCCTGATCAGGCATTGGATTTCTTTCACAGATTGTCCTGCACTGTAGTTTGCTGTTGATGCTACAGTGGGAATACGGGAAGCAGCTTTTTAAATGGAGGAACTATGTAGAAAAGAGAAACCTGATGGCAAAATCACTTCTGTTTGGCAGGCACTTGTGAACTACCTCCTTTGCTTGCATGTTGATTTCCCATAGTTGGTGGAAGACCAGCACGGCCCAGTTAGGGATGCCTTTCAAGACCGTACATACTGAAAGAACATGCCTAACCAGGAAACATGGCAAATGAGTCTTTGCAAGCTGGACAGGATAACATGAGGAAAGACATAGGTTTGACCTGCTGTATGTATGCTACAAGATGAGGTGCAGAACACTGAGGCTGTAGAATGAACTGAATATTTTTAGACTGCAGCAGGGAGATCACATTTTAGAAAGCTCCCCGCACCTATGTGGAAGGTAAAGCAGGCAAATGTTATCTGGAACTTCTCTCCCTGAACTGTTGGTTTTGTATTTCCAGGAAATGTTTTGCATGGAATGTCCAAAAGAGCTGTTGTCTGAACTTGTATAGTCTATTGAAAGTAGTATCTCTAGTTAAAAGCTGGATTTGGAGCACTCTGCTTGCCAGTTATGGTAGACAATAGTGGATGAGATGAGTATATAGTCTGAGGCTCATTTGAGTGAGTTTATAATGAGACTGATGAGAAAGTAGTAGGAGGGGAGTTAACTAGAGGGGAAAGGGCCTTGAGCTAATGGGATGGACTAAAAATCTATTAAATAGTGACGTTACAATGGAGGTGTCAGACCTGCAGCCCAAGGCCACATTTGCCCCTGGACTACTTTTTAAAGCTTTCTGCAGGAGCTGGCAAGAATGAGCTGTCCTCCCCTTGCATGCTACAAGTTGAGAGGAAGGGAACGCAAATGAAGGAGGTGTCAGAAGGTGTGTGTGAGAGAGAAAAGGGGTAGCCACACCCACTATTGGTTTGGACCCGCCCACTGGCATATGGCCCTGGACAGATTACTCCTAAGAAAATGTAGTCCTCAATGGAAAAATGGGTTCCCTACTCCTGCTTCACAAACCAGTACTCTGCCATGGCATAAATTCCTGTCCTAATTAGTGATTAAGTTTTTATATTGCCCCTCCTCCAAAAAATTGGTGTGAGCTTGGTTCTTTGCCCCTCCCAACCATTTTATCTTCACAGCCCTGCAAGGAAGGCTTGACTGAGTGCTAGTGACCCAGTGTCTTTCATGGCTGAGTGAGGATTGAAGTAAGGTTTTACCAGTACAAGTCTGACACATTCATCACAGTGCTACCTTTATTCCTTTTTTTGGGAACATTACTTCAAACATGCCGGAACTTGTATGATGAATTATTTACATTGGAGGAAGCAGCTCTTTCTGAGAAGCATACTATTTCTGTCCCTTCTCATGATCATTGGAGAAAAGTTGTAGCCACTGTCAGTGTCTCTGTAGGAAAATTGCTTCTTGGGGACAGGCAGGAGGGATAACTAGAACAAAGGTCCCCAAGGATCTCTAGCCAGCTTTGGTGATTCATTGAGGATGCTGTCTGGATTTGTGAATAATT